TCTTGTAAATTAGCGCACTTTCATTTACACCCCCTGTAGCCTAGGGCACCCCCCTAGCGTCATTTGCCCAACAATGGGACTTTTAGGACCTAGCCCACGCGAGTTAGATTCCGCCTGACGTTAAATAGTAATAAATAAATAAATAAATAAGTAGTACTGATGTTAACATAGCCATGAGTACCCAGACTAAATGTGGATATAACAAACTTGAAACCCTAGATACAAAACATATACGGCGTCGAAAGGGTATTTTTTATTCTAAAGACCTTATTCCGATGCCAAGTCTTTACATCAAATTGAGTAAACCTTGAGTCTAATGAGCTAGTTAAGAATTTGACACTCTGACATTATATATACTTTAATTTACTCGAATAAGTGCCAAGATCTTTGTGTGCGAATTTTGTATACGTATACATTCTTGAGCCTACCTCGGTATTTGCAAGAAGTATAGTACTTTTCCTCTATATAAGTTGTACGTACCTTTGCACCAGAAATCAAGTCATTCTTCACTGATTCATCTCACTCATTTATCGTGCCCCTGATTCCCCTTATCCTGTCTTGATCTACCTGTAAAACTTCAACAGGTTATTCTTACATCATCTATAAGACCAAATCCTCATATCATCCACAAAAATGCAAGTCATCTACGCCATTGTCGCGCTCGCTACTATAGCTGCTGCTACTCCTACATCTCAAGTGCCCGGTGATATGATTTTGATTACTGTTAATCCCAACAATCCGTTAAAAGATCAAGGGTGTAACTATATGGAATACAACAGAGGTGAACGCGGCGGTGGTGGAGGATGGTTCGTAAGTGTCATTTCTCTCCCCTTTACGACGAGCCTTTTATGGTCTGGACTACCTAGTGCGCGAATGGCAAGCCCAATAACTCACAGTGTTTGTTACACGAGTGGATAAATAGTCTTCCTTATTATATTTGTGCGAAAGAGTTGGAGCCCTAGGATGACTGATGGGTTCCAAGAACTTAAACTTCTTGCTGCTGCTCGGTTCTGGACATCGTTTCAACCCTCCTAGGGGGTTTCTCAGTCCTTAGCCGCTTAAGTACGATTTGAGTTTTTGGATGCAGCATTTCGAGATGCTGAGTAGATAAGAAGGATATCTCTTTATGCTGTTCATCTTGCTGGATTGTTGGTGCGAAGTGTCGTTTACGCTGTGGGCTTACAGAGATGGTTTGGGTATGTTTGGATGAGGTCAGGAACGGTATACGGCGAAATTGGAGAGATTAGTAGAAAGGGTTTTGAGTATTTGTTTCTGTTGTAGTTGATTCTTTTTTCTTTTTGCGTAAATGGGGGTTTGAGGGTGGAGGGGGTGATTTGAAGTCGTTAAAATGTTCGCTTCGCTCTCTCTTTTAGGAGGTAACATACTCTCCGAAAAGTAAATGAAGTCTACTATATCCTTTAACTAACGGCTACACCTCATTCTGAGCCTATTGATTAACTGTTGAAAGTATCCTAACTTTTTCATTCCATATCCATTACACTGCTCGACATAATTAACAGACCTTCTGCCGCAGGATCTAGCGAGCAACAAGGTTCATAGAACGAGGATCGAGATTTACAAAGATCTTTTTAATGAAGATAGGGACTCAGTATTCTGCGCTCGATATTGCGAAAGACAAAAGAAGGATATAATATTGACTGTAGATGAGTGACCGATGGTGTAATTGGGTTTTACAAGAATGGCTTGTAACGGGGAACAGATTTGGCTTCTGGAAATTGCAAAACGGGTGCTGCTAGGACAACTTAGAGGAGTCGGTAGAGCAACATCTTTGCATCAATTGTGACCCGAAGGAGTGACACTATGCAACAAATACGCTTTGTTTGTAGTGGCTTCCAGCTATCTGAGTAGCTTGTCCTACTCTTGTTTCTTATCTCTACGTAATAAGTTTATACTATTGCTTGCAAATATTCGTTGAAGACTCTCTGGATTAAGTTGCCGCCGCTTTCCGATTTCCATCTCGGTACTTCTGTACCCAAACCTGCCAGAAAGACAGTCGAAAGTGATTCGATGACGCTTGGTATCATGATATCTGGAAGTAATCCGTTGTAGAGGGCTATTTTTAGATTGCCGGGACATCTGGTGGAAGTACCGATGCCCTGCTCAGAACAGCAAGTAGTGTACTTCTTAATAAGAGTGACTGTTGGTATCAGGGTCTAGATATTTCACACCAGACTGATTCCTCAGTATTAGCAGATTGAGCCAATTTCTTTGCAAAGGGTTGCGGGAGGTGATTGAGGTACCAATGATATACAGTTGTGTACGGTTGTCTCGGTTTTATGTCTTCTCGTTGAGACGATCTTACGAAGTCACTGCGTGGATCGGGGTAGGCTGTGGCCTTATCAGAGAGAAGAACTGCCCGTTGGACTTTGAACACGCCACAGAGGTTCTTCAAGTGTACGGAGAAACAGATATGAATCAGATTGTTGCTGAAGGGTGATTCTCATAAAAGGCAGTTCATACTTAGACTTTCTTTTGCAGATACTGAGGAACTCGGTAAACACACTTAGTACGATCAAATTCCGTTCATTTTCATTTTCTCAAGTCAAAACCGCCGCAGACTTCCACCAAACAAATAAATACAATCCCCAAGTCCCCGATATCAAATTGCTGCCCCCCAAATTGAGCGGCTAAGATCTCTAGGCGAAAATATCGACATCCAGGTATCCCTTGAGCCCCCCCAAAACTGCAGCAAATGCAGCTTCGCCTTCATCGTACATCTCAAACTCGACAACCACACCCTCATTGAAGTTTAGAGAGCTGCGCTCACCATTTGAGGCCGTGTAGCAGACATGAAACAACCTCGAGAGCGTCAAAGTGCCCCCAATCAACTAAACTTTCGAGTATGATTGCCAAGAAAAGAATGGACCTTCCCAAAGAAGTCATCCTGCTCATCGAGGCACATCTGCCAATCATCTTCTCCCTCCCCATTACTCCCGTAAATCCTCGCCGTCATTGTTCTCAAAAGCTTAACGACGTCACGCCAACCAACCGCATCACCCTCCACCAATGGATCTCTGGTACCATGCAACAAGATTTGAGTAACTATACCTCTCGTATATGGTGGAGATCTTGGAATCCGAATCATCGTATCATCAGCGTCGCGTAATTCCGCAGAGATCTCGATATTCCAACAAAACTTTGAGCGGTTTCGGAATGTCTCGTGCCTGCCCCAGATTTGGAACTTTCCAACGAGCAACAAGGCATTGGGAGCATCTGGGAGGTTGCCTAGACCGTAGTACTGGAAGTACCTATCATCTATTTCGAGGTCATACGTGTATACAGTGTCGTCTTCGCGCATGATTGGTGCGGCCTGGTGGCGGATGTTTATGTCATGGTGGTAGAATGGGTTGTCGGTAACCATCTTGGTAGAGAAGAGATGGTTGAGGAGAGCGCAACGAAGCTTGGTAAACTATAAGCAAACTCGTTAGTGGTACATCTTTGCAAAGAGGAAGAAGTTGCTGGAATCAGAAAGAGTGGGATTGAGAGTGCTGTTTTTTGAACTTACCTCATCTGCACCTTGATCTGGGTTGAACTGCGAAGCAACAACAGGTGCTACTGGGCCTGAGAAAGGGTTGTAGGTTGCCATTATGTGTGATGGGAAAAGAGCAATGAGAAAGATTTGTGTTGAGAGGGGATTTGCAATCTCTGATCACACAGGTTGACAGGAGTTCTGGCATCAAAACAAGCATGGAAGAAAAGCGCAATAGCTAGGCCGCAGCTGCTAGTTCCGAGATTCCGATATCCCGACCGGCAAAGCCAGGTTTTGACGCGCGAAAACATGGTGAAGTTTGCTTTGTCCTTAGCGAGCGCATTGTTTAGTTAACTATACTTCAACATTACACTTTTATATAATCTGACTTTGTCTAGCATGCAATTATTCCCTTCACCTACTAGTTTCCAATTGATTTCTTTGCCAAAAGGAAAGAGGTGTAATTCGCAAAGCAAGGTTTTGTCAAAGACGTTGTTGTAGTGAATTCGCCTAGGTATACAGCAACCAGGGTGACCGATTCTTAGCGGCGAATAGCAGCGCGCAGGAGGTGGCCCACCCACTTTTAGGCAGCTTTTTTCTTAGATTATCTGAAGTCAAGTTCACCCACTGAACTCTTGACTACAACCACATTTAATCCATCTCCAGCACGAGCGTTTTGTCAAGACCCATCGCCGAATTCACCGAAATACCATACTACGTACCCAAATACTCGCCTCGCTTAATTCACAATGTCCAAAAGACCAGAGATCGAGGGTCAACCACCTGCGAAGCGTGTTAAGTTGTCCTCTGAATTGGCAGACGAGAAGGGCACCAAGGCCGCAGAGAAGGAGGAAACCGTTGCTCGCTATACACCAAAGAGCACGGCCAGCATTGAGGGTCAAATCCGATGTTTACTCATTGAGTATCTCATCTCACCTGACTTTCTCGCCAACGCTCCCCCCGCCAACTTCGTCTATTATCGCCCGCTGGAGGATTTGGTCCTACCATATATCGATATGAACCAATATGATCCTCTCCAGTGAGTACCGGTTCCAGATCTCCCGGAAATACACAGCAGAAGACTAATTAATGACCTCTAGATTCCGTCCACCTGTTCAACTCCCACATCCTTTTTACGGCATCATCACCAGCCATATTTTCAACGTCCTGTGCGATGTCACGACTCTCAACCATCCTGATATCACGCACCTACAATGCTGGATGAGCACGTTTGCCAATGCACGTCACGCGAGGGAGGATGTGAACCAGCTTAATCGTTGGATGATGCGAGGTATCAAGTTCAATGTTGTTGCTCTAAATCGCAAAGGGCAACCTGTCACACGCCAAAACTGGGTCAAGGACTTTGAAGAGAAGAAGGGGCTTTATCTTAGACGAGTTGATGATGTGGATATCAGAATGGAACTTACCATTCTCGAGGACCAGATTTGGATGGCCCAGAACGGGGTCTGCCCCAAAATTCAGACCTCGATGAACTGGCCTGCTCTTGTTGGTTTCGTGCGAAGTAGTGTCCAGCGGGCTTTCACAGCCAAGGGAGAGTTGGTTTCGGATGATGGCAAGATTGAGGGTATTGATGGACGCGGTTATGTTGATGCGTCTGGCATCATGGTTATTTGAGCCATCGGCCATCGGTCGCTTCTAGTAGCCCAACCATCAGCAATCGTACTTTTCGTTCGGCTACTCTGTTCGTTTGTTGAGATCAGTAGTTCTGGTCATCAACAATCATACTACTCTTTTGCTTGTCTCGGTCGCTTCCAGTAGTCCAGGCCATCAACAAACATACTACTCATTCGGCTACTTTCTTCGTTGGTTGAGATAATTAGGGTCATCGTCGGTTCATTCCCGATTCATCTTCGGTTCATCTTCGGTTCATCGTCAGTTCATCAGGGGAGATGTGGTAGCAGTGTTTTTGTTCTTGCGTTTCTAGGTTGGGGGATTTTACATAGAAAGCAGAGCAATATAGTATTTTCCTTCGTGAATTTCTTCGATGTAAAGTGATTTTCATAGCCTATAGTAATTAAAAACAAAGATTTTTATTTACTAGATAATATAGGTTAGTATAATCTAGTAGTAAATATAATTCTTAACTTATATAGTATAATATTAAAAGGATAATATAGTTTAAATATTATATAAAATATATATAGTAAGACTCTAGTAATAACCGTTTTAAAATGAAATAATAAATATTATTAATTTATTTAGTTTAGAAAATTCTTTTACGAATAAAGTTTTATAAAGAAATAACGTTATATTAAATTATATCTAACTAAAAGATTACTTTAAATTATCAAGCAAAGATAATATTAATTTACCTTTATAGTATATTAAATTAGTAGTATAAGTTAAACGTATAGAGAATATTTATTATTGTTACGGAGTTGGAGGGACTGGGGTCTGGTCACGTGTAGCACGGCACGTGCGTGCCGCTGGCATCCTGTATTTAAGCTTCCGTTCCTCTGGAACTCTTTTCTCTCCTCACTTAGTTGTTCGCTCAATACAGCAGTTTCCGTTTGACTCCGTATTCATCACAGCAAGCAGTGGTTCACTCCACACGGTTACAATTATTATATACCATTTTAAAAGCTTTTCCTAAATATACTTATTTTATTAATCTATTATAGAATAACTAAAAGTAAGTTATACGAATAAGTATTGCTCTTATTTATCTCTTAGGGCTTATAAAAATGTTATATTTTATCCTGTTTAGAAGTTACTATTAACCTTATTTACGGTAGTATGAATTCCAGATGCATTCGACTTCCATAAACCACAGCTGTGACGGTTATGGTCACGAGGGCTGGATGTCACATGCTCGCTTAGCGAGGCGCTAGCGCGCACGACCTGTATTTAGTTCCCAGCTCTCTCGAGCTCTCCTTCTTTCCTCGTCTTTTGTCCTAAGAATAGAGTGTTAATTGTTCTGAGTTCTACCTGAAGCACGTCTGTCACAATACAAAAGACCCTTAGTTGAGGCTAAGTATCCCAGGTCTAAGTTCACGTTCACGTCCAAGTTCAGGTCCACGATCTTACGTCTCAATTCTCACGATTTCTACCACTTTCTTGTGCGCAAGAACCCTACACTTTACAACACGACGAAACCTCTTCTTTTTTCGACTTCTCTACAATGGATGCCCTTCAAGTTCAGTCCGCCATCGCTGAGTTGCAAGCTGAAGTCCAGCGACAGCGCGACGAGATTCACTTACTCCGGTCAAGAACATCCGCAAAGCCTAAACCTTCCCTCCCAGACCCTGACAAATTCACTGGCCAGGCTCATAAATTCGACACCTGGCTTCCCTCAATCAAAGCAAAGCTACGAGTCGACGGTACAGCTATTGGAGACGCTATTGCGCAGTTCTACTACGTCTACCTCAACCTTGACTCCCACGTCCAAGCCATGGTCCTTCCACAGCTCTCTCAAGCAGAAGACACCCAAAGCTGGGACTACCAAACAATCCTCGAACAGCTCGCGCGCGTGTACGACAATCCAAACAAGGTACAGGAGGCGGAAGACAAGCTATTTGCCCTCAAGCAAGGTGCTGACTCAGTCCCTACATATATCGCCAAGTTTGAGCGTGTCCTTTACGAAGCAAGAGGTCAGGACTGGCCAGATGTCAACAAAATTTCCACCTTTAGGAATGGCCTTAATTCTACTCTTCGCGGACGACTTTCTCAACAACTCAACCTACCTCGCGATTATACTACATTCATACGCGTCGTACAACAATTAGCAGGCCGCTTCTCTTCGTCTACACAACCTACACAGTCCTACTCCTCTGGCAACCACCACAGCGAACCAATGGACATAAATGCTTTTAGCATCAATTCCATCGACCCATCCTCTCCTCCACGCGCTCGCTCTATTTCCCCTGAGCGTAGAGATCAATATAGAGCTGAAGGCAGGTGTGTACGATGTGGCTCCTTGGAACACTGGGTCAACGATTGCATACTCCGTCCTTTCTCACCAGGACCACAAGGAAGGAAATCAGCCATAGATTTGGGGGATCTACCAGCTGGGGAGGCATTCCCAAAGCCAGTACGAAAGCAGATTGCAAGACCAGGCAGAGTAGTAATAGCAGCTATGAACGACAATGCTTACGATAGCGCGGAGGTAGATTCGGACGATCCTGACCATCCAGATGCCTGGCAAAAGGGTATTTTTCACAATTAGTTCAGATTTTCAACGCTCGGGGCGAGCTCTTTTTAAAGGGGGGGGTGATGTGACGGTTATGGTCACGAGGGCTGGATGTCACATGCTCGCTTAGCGAGGCGCTAGCGCGCACGACCTGTATTTAGTTCCCAGCTCTCTCGAGCTCTCCTTCTTTCCTCGTCTTTTGTCCTAAGAATAGAGTGTTAATTGTTCTGAGTTCTACCTGAAGCACGTCTGTCACAACAGCAGTCTCACCGTAATAAAACGGCTATATTAATGTTGAAACTGATGATCACGTTAGGACAAACACGTATATGAAACAGCGCTTAACCCTGCGATTTGGTAAGTGTTAAAATTGGTTATACTGTTGCTTAATTTGCTTTGATTAAGTCGAATTAGTCTTGTCTATTCTCGGTCCATTTTGATGGCAATTAACTTTGGCCCCTCTCCCTGTGGACAAGAAAAGTGGCCATCTTGGCGTAGTCGATTTTGCGTGCATCCCTACAATATAAAATTCCAGTGCCCAGACTTCCTTGAGACTGCCACGTATCTTGTCTACCGGGAGATTACCTTGCGAAATCGCCGTATGGTTTCGACATACTAACCCAGCTTAATGCACGTACTCCTTTTTACTACCATATTAGCTAAATTTGGAAGGGGTCTTGCCTACATATGCTGTACGTTCCTCTGTAGCTAGAATAAGTCATTTTCCATTTATTTCAACATACTCACTCACTCTACACGCTGTAAAAATTTCTGTCGTTCCAAATATCATCACAATACCTAAATATGTTTTTCTCCAACTCTCTCGTTATCGCTCTCGCGACTCTGCTCGCATCCGTCACAGCTACCCCAGTCCCCCAGGCACTGTTCCCAGATGATGGTATCTACCGTTGGAAAGTAGAAGCTCTTGACCTCTATTGTCCATTCACACCCACCTGTGAATACAAATTCACGGTTGGGGGAGATGCTTTCAACAAGAACGGGACAGACATCCCCACATTCAATGCGACCTGCAGTGGCACCAAAGAAAGCGATCCCTTCGTGCCATGTACTTTCAATGACGGCGCACCCGCTGGCAGAACTCTTTCCTCGAGGATAATACCCACTCCGATTTTTGACGAAAGGGGGAAAATTAGAGGTAGTCTCATCATTAGCTACCAGTTCACGGACGCATCGAAACAAGCGTGGAATTACACGAACAATTTTTTCGAGGTCAAATACCTCGATTTTGAACCACAAAACTTCAATGTCGAAGTAGGTGCGCCGGTTAAAATTGGACCTCAGACTTCTTAGGACTGGAAACTGTGAATGAAAGGATTTTTTCCGGGCTTATATCCTGTTGGGGGGACTACAGTGGGTGTCTCTGCTGGGTCAGAAGCTACTCCCATTCTAATTCAAAGAATGGCACAGAAGCACGTAAAGAAATGGCATTTCTATGTGCATGGTTACGAGGATCATGAATTTTACGGAAGGAGGAGAATGGACAGTGGAACTTTACCAAGATGGTTTGGAACTTGGAAAGGGACTGAGAGTTGTGGGTTTTGGCCGTGCCGGGGAGGTTGCCGTGTAGAGTGTACATTATATACCCGCGTCCTCTTTACAAACCGTTCTTCTCTTATATACAAGGTAGTGTTTATAGTTCCAACTAAATGTGTGGCTAAGGGTTCTTTACATACGGTGTTACCTAGAGAATATTGAAATACATTTATGTTATTGTTACTGTGGGGTTTTTCATCTGCTTTTTTTCAAGAGAATATACAAATAGTGGTTCGATTCGTGGTTCTAGGTAGTGTTATTCTACGTATTATTAATACTACACATATTATAATATCCTCTAACTATTCAATATTGTGCTTATTAGGAGATAATATAGAAGGGGACAGTAGTTTCTTTTGTATGAATAAGCGAAATTTCGACAAGTACCATACATAAGTACAAAATCACCATCTCAAGCAAAAGCCCAAAGACAAAGTCAAAATACATATTTATAGAACGGTCCTAATACGGGAAACAATCTCCTCTATCTACTACAATTACTAGTACAGCCTATAAAACCTATAGCATTTCCGCATCTTACAATAACACCCGTGGCCAACGTCTACGGCTCCTCTATTCGCGCTGTATATGAAGAAGGCGAGGATCAAAACATCTCCATCATATTTCTCCCCCACCAATTTCCTCCCATCTTCACTCTAGCGCCCGAAAATTTCCTCTTAAATATGTGAGAGTATACTTGAAGTTAAAGTGACGAACCCCATATTTTCAGTAGCGAGATATAAATTGACAGTTGAGAGCAACTCCTCTAAGCCGGCGACCCCTTTTTTCGAACACCCACGTATATTATCTAATTGTTAGTATAGAGATATCTAGGATATTAAGGTAAAGAAATAGGGTAACGTGGTTTATCAGCGAGTCGATCATATCACCGAGTCGATCACTTTTTCTTGGCACAGAACTTTACACCTAAATAAATCAACCACAATATATTAAATTAATTATCGCTCTCTATATCTGACGAACTAGATATATCTATAACTTCTTGACAAGTTCGCGCGTTATGACCAGCTTTTCCACAAGTTCTACAGCGCCGCCTAGAAGGTTGCCCCTCCTTATAACCAACCCCCGCCTCACGCATGTCGCGTCGTACTTGCTCATCTACATCCTCCTGAGCTAACATATCCTGTACATCCTCTACTATAAGTGCCCCTCCTTGGCGGACACGAGTCTTTTTAGCCCTACGGCGT